TATATATATATATATATATATATATATATATATATATATATATATTTATATATATTTATATATTTATATTCAGTTACACTAATAAAGTTATTTTTTATTGTATAATGTATATTACATAATTATAATTCATAACTTCATTTATATATTTATATATATATTAATTATAATTATATAACATATATTATACACGGAAAAACAATTCCATTAATGTAGCTAAATTTCTTGTTACGTGGAGAATAGATAAAAAACTTAGCTATAGAAACAGAAAGATTATATCGGATATTATAAGATATTTTTATCTGTTCAGCCAATTGCTGTGAGTCTTATCTCAATCGAATTTTAATGCAACTGAATGTTCAGACGTATGTTTTCGATTACACAAATATTATTTCTAGTCAGCGAATTTTTCGTCTAGTCCCCATTCAGCCAATCGAACTGAAACTTTTTTCCGGGTACATATATTATAATTATGTTAATTATATTAATAATTTTATTTAATTATATATAAGTATAATAATTATATTAATTATTATATATTATATAATTATTAATATATAATATAATAATTATATTATTTATTATATATTATATAATTATATATATTTATACTTTTACTTTATAATTATAATTCCGTTCCCGCAATGTATGTTGAATGCTATACATATACGTTGTCGTAAATGCGATGCTACAGGCGCAGTATTTCAAGTATACATACAAAAAATGCATACTGCATTCAAGTTAATATTACTTGTTTTAAATATTTTCTAAGTTTATGTATCCGTAAATCTACCCTAAGTTCATCACAAGGATTAAATTTACTCAAAATACATTCTGGTAAGTTTAGCATTTCAATTAAGAATATCAAATTAAAACAAAGATTCTGTTTACTTACTACATAGAGTTGAGCTGGCTTTTTATTCGATAAAGTTTTATAATATTCTTATAAAAAGACTAAATTCTTTGTATGAGTACATGATAATGAGCTTTCCTCAAATTTGCGATAAGTATATTTTAAAATTATTATCAAGAAAATATTATTTGTTAAAAATCATTATTACTTAAAAGAAGAAAAGTAAACTGAGTAATTGCTTTTCTTAGTAGTAGAATCATATCTTTCTGTGATAACTATGCTGAGAAAGAGAAAGAAAGAGAGAGAGAGAGAGAGAGAGAGAATAGTTAACGTCATTACAATTATAATCATTTTTAGCGCCATATCTTATTGTTGGTCTAACAAAACAATAATAGCGTAATATGCAAGTAAGGTTATTATCGTTAACATTAAGACTCTAGAAATGATTATCCTAACTATAATTCCTTTATTATGTGATTAGTCACAAGTATCCAACAGTTTTTCTTAGTGTACGTGCATCATCGCGTATATACTGCATGCATTGTGCAAAACAAATGGTAATGAAATATAGAGTATTTTAATCTCTAGAGAAAATTTTACACGGTAATAAATTTGTAACATAAGAATTAACTTGAGAATCGGATTTAGAGATTTGAGGATTGTTGGCCAAGGAATTTGGAACTTCTCATATGTTCAAGTTCTTTTTTTTACCTTATCAAGTCAAAAAGGAGTGCAAGAATTTATTGCACATGACTGACGTTTTGCTACGTTTCAGACATTCAACGACACACGCTCGGCGATTCAACAAATTAGCAACATCATCGGCGAGAATTTCGAGCCAGACACAACCACGCAACGGCCAAGTAGAATTAATTCATCGTTGGTTACTAAACCCACCACGCCGCCAGAGGACCAAAATAACATATCCAGCAACCTGGCCAACGTAAACGTAACAGCAACGGTTACAACAGCAACAGCAGAAACAAGAACAACTACTACTACAATGCGGCCTTATAAATTTACAGTAAATGGTGTGCAAAATCTGATTATGAGAAATTTGCGTGGTCTAGTGAGGCTTTTCAATATCGAGTGGCAAGATGCTCTGAACGTGAGTCTTTTGTTATCCTCGATACTGGTCTTTCTTCTGGTGAACTCACTTATTTATCACCAAACGCGCGTAAATCTTTGACTATCACAATAAATCGTATGTTCTTTCAGCAATCTGAGGTAACTGTGAAAGAATTTCAAAAGAATCTTGGGAACCAGGTGGGCAGTTTTCTGCAAGATAATCCGGACGCCTATTAACAGCAATGAGCAGCGTACAGGGTGTGATTAGAGAATCAAAACTAAGTAAAAAAACTCTTAATTGTAATGTAATGTAATGAAACACATACCCCACGAACAATCCCATAATTTAGCCAAAGACTATAGTTGTATGTAACCGAAAATATTATAGCACGGTGATGGCGAATTTTTACAACTCGACATGTTGTCAAAAGTGGAAAAGATTGGTAATTACTTAAATGGCGTGTTAAAAACGCATAAAAATTCTAAAGAGAATAATAAAATCATAGAAAAATTATAGAAATTAAAGAATCATAGGAATATATTGAAATAATAAAATTGTTTAGATCTCTATCTAGGAGCTTTCAACAAAAACAAAACTACACTGCAATATATGTTTAACTAACTGTAGCATACATTTTATTTAATAATTTTCTTATTACTACACTTTTGCAAAAAGTTTTTCTGTGCAAAGTGTACAATTTCAGGCATCCCAGTGTTAATTAAGTCACAATATTTTAATAAAACAGTCTTACACAGTTTTATTAAAATATTTCGATTTCTCGTACTTTTTTATTCAAATATGCAAAACGAAAGTTAAAATCACTATAAGATAAAGTTTAAAAGAGAAAGAAAGAGAAAAATTTTATAAGTTTTAAAGAACATTATAAATTTTTTTGCTCAACTAAAAACAGATAATTTTTTTATAAATTCTTGGTAGAAATAATCAGAAATATAATTAGACTGGAGAATAACCACAGTTTCGTCGATTGTTAATTTGATAAATAACTGATGACTATGAGAACATTAATGTCCAATAAAATTAAAACAACAGCAAAATCCTTTTTTGTCATGATGTATTGCAAGAAAGACCCAGCGAGAAATGACTTCGATCGACGTCGAAACGATGTCGAGCGACAAGTTATTTCTCACTGGGAAGGAGTGGCATATGATAGATTTGCCACCACTATATCAATACAATTCAAAGTGTAATCTATATTATCAGTACGAGAATTTTTATGAAAATATGAAACTTGTGCAAATGATAAATATGGACATACGTAAAGAAGAACCAATTAATCAAACCTACAGAGGCAGATTTCGCGCAGTGTCTGTTGTAAATTATGTCGGTAGCTTGCTAGCAGAAATACAACAGGATCTGCTAGTAGAGTGATAGATGTCAATGATAAATTGATGACAAAAACGAGTAAAATCTGTCATTTCACAACTATTTAAATGTATTTGGATGGAACATACTGCAAATCCTACTGGATTTCTGCCGCCGATCCGCTATCAAGTTATATCAGCAAGCTCGACAGAGCACGTGCTTAGTACAGACACAGATAGCTATGGATCTGCCACGGAGTCTGATCGAATCTGCCTGCATGCTACTAATATTTTCTTTATCTAGGATTACTACTTTATTTTCCATTATATATACGTACAAATACATGCGTTTCATTGTAAATACATAGATTAAACATAAATAATGTATATGCATTAATTAATAGATACAAAATATATATTTTTATTGTATTTTTTGTCTGAATTGAAACGTATCATCCATAATTTAGCATTGATTGCGTCAGCGTTGGGTGTTAATCGACTAAAAGTTTCTTTGACTAAAACAATCGACAATAATCAAAATCAATATCCAAAATCATAATAAATCGTCATACATGTGATCATGAATAATTTAATCAATTGATTGATGAAATCAATTATTAATCAATACAGTCAAAGTTTGACATTAATAATTAATTTCATCGACGAATTCAATCGCCCAAATTATTTGTGATTTTATATATTGATCAATTTTGATTACTGATTTGCCGATTATTTTAATCAAAGAAAGTTTTAATCGATTAATATCCAACATTGCACCAAGTCGAAAGTTGCAAGTTCACGTCGCCTCTCGATCTTCTCAATACTTGTCGCGATAACGCGATCTGCGCGATCTGCGAAATTTGGTCTGAAAGGCTCCGGTTCTACGATTACATCATGGACGAACGATCATCGCTCTCTACGATATATCAAGTTATGCAAGCGTTTCGACTCTCAACCCACGCCTTTAAAGTTTTATGAACAGAAGATAAAGGAAAACGCGTCGAATGATCGTCTGGTGAAAGAGGACAAGAGGAGGAGCCGGGGACCGCGCATGGCCTGATTACGATAAGTAGAAAGCACCTTCTTCACACAGACAGACTGGCGTAAGGATCCGCGAGATCCTTAAACCGGATTGGTCGGCGTGGGATCTCGCGGCAGCCCTTATAGATCGGCAAAACGGATCTGCGATTCAAACGTACGTTGACTTGAAACTCGTAAGACCATAGCCAAACGGACCGCTCTGGAAAGTGTCGAGAAGATGTTTTGGTGTTTCAGTCTTGTGAGCTTTCTTCTTCTCGGAGATACATACGGCGTAAGTTGTCTGCAATTTAATGGATATATTCCAATTTAAGATAGTTATGCCATGAAACAAGTTTCACAAGAATTTTATGAATCTTGCATTAAATATATAGTGAAATATTATCTAACTTCTGACGTGCAATTAGAAAAGGATCGATCAATTCGAAGTTGAAATATTTGCAATTAAAGTTGACACTTGTTACTTCCTTTCTGTTACGTGTTCCTTCAGAGGCTAATATACTATTTTTAATTTTTATTTCTAATATTTTTTAAATTACGTATAAAATTTTAATTAAAAACTACTATATTAAAAGCTGATATACAGACATTATATAATTTTAGAATTATTGACCATTTTGTCTTCAAAATACAGAAATGGAAAGTTCATATATAATTTATAGTGTATATATATATATATATATATATATATATATATATATGTTTGTATATTAAGTTAATATTACAGTTAAATAATAGAAAAAACTGATTCAGTAGTAGCAAAGTAAATTTTCGAATCTCTCTAAATTTCACTATTAATATTTTCAATTGCGAGTGAATAAAATTAAGTGACGCGTTGTGCTAGCTACAAAGAAGTTTCTTGCAAGTGCATGATATATTATTTTATATAATAAAAACAATTTTTATTTATAAAATTATTGAAATCAAATATATGGGCGGACGAGATAAAGTTGGCTCATAATTAAGGATATCTTTCGCCAAGATCCCGGAACTACTAACCAGAATACATATTTTATATATAGCCTCTTTACTTGTTATACTACACAGTAACTGAATTAAATACCAGGATAAGATGGTGACATTGCTGCATGTTTATATTTTAATTATTACAAAACAAAATATATGATTAACAGAATCATAGCGGACATTAACACATAGAAGAAGGTTGCTTCTATCATATTTGTATAGTCAATCACAACAATCAGTTGTCTAAAAAGTTACAATTTCAAAATTCTGAAAAAGTATAGGGGATCTATCTGAACAAAAAAATCTTCTACTATTTTTCAAACTACCATATAAAATTTTGAGTTATTAATAAAAAAAGATTAGTAAATAATTACTAGCTGTGATAGTGACGTCTGTCGCTATGTGCGCTTATATATTAAGTCAAACTGAACGAAAAAGTTATTGACTATTTTACACATGGCCACATAGATTCTTAATTATTAATTAGAGAAGATTAGTGCATTATCGCGCATAGTTATACATAAATCTCTTTTAATTAATAGCTAAAAATCTATGTAATTGTTTGCAAAATGACGTCATAGCTCATTTATGATATTGGTGATTATTCACCAATTTTCTTTTATTAATAACTCAGAATTTTACGTGATTGATTAAAAAATGATAGAGGACTAATTTATTATAAAGTATAAGATTATTTTATTCAGATTGATGTGTTCTACCTACCATGTCTCCGTCGCTATATATTAGTGTCATGTAAAGCACTCATAAGGGATCTAACCTTTATATATCGACAAGATTGTTACCAAATTTACATACATCTGTTTATCTGAATAGGTCTCTTTATTGGATTAGCGGATGTATCCGGAATTAAATCGAAGAAAATACACCAATCTTTATTTTCGCGACCTGAAATTATTCGGATCTTACGGAATTTAAGAATATATTCATAAGTCATACGATGCATCGTGAAAAATGCATCGTGAAAGAAACAAACGAGACAAAGTTGCTTATAATGATTATCATTTTTGCTTAAATTCTCTTCCATGTCTAATTAACAGAAAAAAAGTTGTAACGCTTTCTCTTCAATGAGTTTTGCAATACACCAGGCATTAACGCGTTTATCACAAGATTTTCGTAAAAACTTGCTATGCCGCTAAATTTTCTTTTTTTTTACATAAATAATTTCTCACATTAAGAAAACATGCTTAGTAATGTCACGAATTTCTGAAAGCTGGTTAGTAAATATATTATTACGCCTATGTAATGCTGACATCTCTCCAGAAATGTTAATGTATTATACATTTACGTGGTAAGAGTTAATTGAATTATTATTTATATGGCAGAATCAATGTGTCAATAAGAGAATTTGTTTTAAATACTATGTGTGTTATGAAACTCATCGAAGCTCAGTAAACAGTACTAGTTAACTAGTAAATAGTACTAGTTAACAGTAACATTATATCAATGTTATAATTTTCCATTCAATAATATAAATAAAGTATAACATATGTTATATGTAATAGTAATATTGTTAAAGTATTCATAACATCGATGTAATGTTATTGTTAGTTGGCATTTACTTGGGAAGAAAAACGTGTTGCAACTTTTCTTTCACTGTCTGCCTATGTTACCCAAATAATCAAATCTCCAAACATTGCCAATGATTTCAAACAGATGGACTATCGATTTCATTCAAACTTGAGGCTCAAATGTTCCTATTTCGAGCAATTTAAGTATACAATACTAACCTCTCATCTAAAAATCCTAATCTAAATGCCACAATACAACCTTAAAGACAAAACAGTTTCACTCACCCTTCGTGAAACTCCTTGAACAATATTTTTGAAATTTAAACTTAGTGCTTTGAGAAATTGCACTGTAATAGAGACAAAACGAATTCATTTTAATCCGATTATCGGTGAAGATCATTCGATATTTTTAATCCGCGAGAAGTGAAAGTTGCGATAAAGACTAGGTGTCGTACACGCTGACGCATTCGCGCGCATATAGACCTACGTGGGCTCCTGAATGCACTTAAGTGCAATGCCAGCTAACAGGTTGCAACGTGGGTTGTGTTTGTTGTATCAATTTCGAGGGAGAAATTTCCGCGTAGTTTATACACAGTTATTACACGTGGCCTTATGCAAAAAATACGGAAGGAGGAAGGAAAGATCAATCTCTCTAGATCAGCCTTCTCTAGATCAGCCTTCTCTACGCATTTCAGGATGTTTCCAAGAGCAGAATACGACGCCAGAGCTTACCGCAAAACGGTCAACTAATAGACAACATTTTTAACGTGAGTATCTCGAATTACAACAAAGCTTTTCTATTCTATATAAAAGGAAAATATCAAGAAAATAAGTAAGAAAAGAAAGGAAAAATAAGAAAATGATTTTTCTATTCGACAAATCGATTTCTATTGCGTTGGCATTAGAATAGAAATTTTTTTTTACAGTTATAACATGAAACAAGTTTCACGAGAATTTTATGAAACTTGCACTACATACACAGTGAAATATTATCTAACTTCTCACGTGCAATTAAAAAAGGATTAATCGTTCGAGAGATGAGATATTTGCAACTAAAGTTGACATTTGTTATACGTGTTTCTAGAGGCTAATGTAATTTTTAATTTCCATTTTTAATGTTTTTTAAATTACATATGAGATTTTAATGAAAAATTGCTATATTACTATATATATTGAATTACTATACTAATATATAGACATTATACACAAATTTCAGAATTGACCATTTTGTTTTCAAAATATAGCAGTAGAAAGGAAATATAAGAAAATAATTTTTCCATTCAGCAGATCGATTTCTTAGGTATTTGCGTTAGTATTAGAAAAGAAAATTTTTTTTATTTTGCAGATTCCGATCACGGCGATTAAGCAAACCGCCGCCGTCGCCCAGACTTTCTCGCCGGAGAACACGCAAACGATAGACTCTGTTTTTAAGGTCACGTATACGCGAAATGTTGAAATCTGCCGTGAGTTGCACTCCGTTATCTTCTACAATCGAGATAATTATTTATAGATCCCCGTCTCGACGCTAGAAGCTGTCGGCACGCTCGTGAAGTCAACGGCGGAGCGGAGGCAACAAAATGCGGACAATATACAAAGGAATCGTCAAGAGCGAAGAGATCGACTACAGGGTAGAAAGGAGCAGAAATGGAAGCGAAAGGAGGAGCTGCAGGATCAACGATTTTCACAGCAACAATTGAAGAGAATTGTCAGGCATCATAAAGATCCATTCGGATTGGACGCGTTAAGCGATCTTTTGGTTGGACACCACGGCCTTCTTAGTGGACACCACGACTCTTTCAGTGGGCATCACGGTGCACATCACGGTGCACATCACGGTGCACATCACGGTGCACATCACGATGGTGGACTTTTGGGACATCACGGTGCACATCACGGCGGCCACGGACATCGCAAAGGTCATGGCTCTCACGGCGGACATGGTAATCTTGATAGAATTATAAAAATATCTCTAAATGGCAAACGCACAAAATGTCACATGTAGATTCTAAAAAGAACTTCTTCAAAACCAGTAGGTTAAGTAAAATCAGAAGAGATTAATATACACTTCACAGCATCAAAATTGGAATATGGAGATTGAAAGTAGAATTAAAATTTTTATTTGAATATACATTTTTCTTCCGAAATTGTATTATTTATCAAGACAAATATATCTATACTGGGACTCCTAGGAAATCAACCGCAAAATACCTACGAGGTCCATGAAAACCTCAATGAAGACACATCTTTCTCTTGGCACGGCTTGACCGCCGGGTTCGGCAGTTTCCACGGCACACGACCTTCCAGTACCATTATCAAAATCGATAACAAAGTGGCCCCAAAAGAGGAAAAAGGGACAACATTCAAATATTCGAACGATGACGTAAATCCTTACAACAAAGTCTCCAAGATTAAAAATAAGACGGGGCGCGCGGGCGGGGACGGAGACAACTATCCACCGTTAGAAAATAAAATCGCACCGAGAACTGGAAAAGTGACATTTGTATAATAGTAATGTAAATATATGTGAAGTAATACTAGGTGTAATGTTTATGTTTTATGTTATATTCACTGACAAATTCTCGTTATTTTAATGTCTAATGAATTTTACACTCTGTACTTGCCTTCACTAAAGAAATCTAAAAAAAATATATATACATACATATTTTATATTTAATTGTAAGTGTGCGGATATGTATACGTCAGAGAGAGATAAAGAAAGACAAACAGAATTAAATAGTCACAAAATTGAAATGATCTACTTATTGAAGTGACATAATTATTATATTTTATATGTCACGTCAGATTTGGTTACGTTGTTTAACAATTGAATGACAGTCTCTAATTAAGTATTGCAAAAAGCAACAAAAAATTATTATTAAGAATTATGTTTTTTTCAATCACATTTACAAAAATCTTTAAATCATCAAGACTAATAAGTTTCAACAATGTTTTTAAAGGAAATTGAATCTCGTCTAGCCACGAGATAGTAATTTGTGTTTAACATCATTACTAGCCAATAATATAACGTTAACTTCTCCTAGTAGCTACATAAATTACTTGATAAACAAATAAAATTATAGTTACAGGATGAAAAATCATAAGTAGCTGCTGGCCAGCAAACAACACTTAATTCTACTTTTTTTTTAATTTTTATAAAATTAACATATCCTCGTAACGTGCTCGTAACGTAAATACCAACATTTATTTTTTCTGGCTGGCATACGTTATCTGGATATGTGTTTCTATTAAACAGAAATAGATATAAATTAAGTCTCAGATTGTTCCTATACTGAAAAAGTCTCTGGAAGAAATAAACTAGAATCTTCATGAAACGTGTCGCAAAACATATCCATAAAGGATGCGGCATCATCCCGCAAAAACGAAATCGAGTATAAAGAAAGTGGAATGTACTATCCTTATTTTCAAAAATATCTCACCTTATGGTTATATATCGTCGTATAATGCTAAGCGCAATTCGAACATTGCAAATATGTCATGTGACACAAATAGGACCTGCACTATACTAAGTGTTGTGTATACATATTTTTCACAATACAGGGTGTCCGGTAACTGATCGAGCAACCGCCGTGTACGGGTAGAACGGGTCAAAATAATCATAAAAGTTATATGCCATTTTGAAATTTTCTCAATATTTATTCCGTAATTAATTAAAATATATAAAAACGAATGAGCTCACGAGAAACGGTAGGACAGGCGGTAAACAGCTGATTTCGAGGCGGAGTAACAAGCGACACGTATACTCCATCTCAAAATCAGCTATTTAGTTATCGTTGCTAAGAGATGAGTCATTTCTTTTATACACAGAAGCCTGTGCCTACCGCTTCTCGTGAGCTCATTCGTTTTTATACATTTTAATAGAAAAGGAGGAGGACGTACTAGGTGGCGGCGGGACGCCGTGCGTTCGAGATCTGCGTATCTTTTCGTTCCAGAGAGAGAAAAATATCGAGAGCGCGCGGTTTTGTTAGGCCGGAACTCGAACCCGGGTCTTCGTTTGCCGAGCGACTGCTCCACTAGTAAACCACTGAGCTACCTGACGCTCCACGCTCACGACACTCTCCTTTCCCTAGATAACGCTCAGAGATGTTGTTCGGAAGCGACATCTCTGGCGCGATCCCGAGCGCACGGCGACTACAGAGAGAAACAATGTTACTGTACCAAATCACATCTTCCTTCTGTCCTGAGCTTTAAAATGAACGTTGTTCTCTCTTTATCACTTACCTGCGCGAATATTTCCGTTATAATATTAATAATTTCTCAATGTATAACACGTAATAGTTCGATACGAAATTATACGAACTGCATTAACGTTATAACATTTCGAACTGTAAATAATAAATGCAAATGCGGTTCTACAATTAGTCAGAACTGACTAGGCGAAGCACAAAATGATCATGGATCTTTGTCTTTATTGACTATCCAATTTAGTCGGCCAAATCTAGAGATGGATAAACTTCACCAACTGGCTGTTTTTAGTTTTCAGTCGCCAGTTCGGTAGAATTAATCGCAGGTTCTCCTAATACATATGTATTTAATACTGGATATCACGAGCTTCTTTTTTCTCTTCTCCTATGCATCATCGTATAATCTAGCAAAGTCCGCTTGATCGAAGTTATGTAATCCTAGCTTATTTTGCAAACGGAAAACGAACAATATCTATATAACCAAAAGTTCAACAGAAAATAAGACAACATAAAATTCATGTAAAGACTGTGTTCTCTGCAACATATACAATCAGTGATTGCAACACTATTTTGTCCTTGTATCTCACCGATTATCCAAAAACCAAACTAGTAATAGTAGTAGTAGTAGTAGTAGTAGTAGTAGTAGTAATAGTAGTGAATAATATTCTAGTAAATAGTAATTAACAGTAGTAAATAGTAATTAACAGCGCTACATCTATGTTATAACTTGCATATTGTACTTGCTTGCTTGCTTGCTGTTAGATTCAACAATGTAACTGTTATGTACAACATATGTTATAAAATTTAGAGATAGTAAAAGTATTATTTTGTACATACAAATTGCAGAAAATTTATATAAAACAAATATTTCTTTTCTGTTTTTAATTGACATCTCCAAACTCCATATTGAACTAAAAATAAACAGAAAAATGTAGCTTCACGATTTGTTTTCTTCACGGCATTAAGTTAATTATTCGAACCTATTAATGCAAATTGCAATCGTGACTATCAACATGTTAAACCGGTTTAATAAAAATAACAAGATGCTCTTATAAATGCAGCGACGCGATTCTGAGATTCAATTTAAGTCGACTTGTCGAACCACAACCAAGCGAACCGCTTAGAACAGTATCAAAATGAAGTTTTTGATTTACAGTCTTTCGATCATTCTCCTCATCGCAGCAGTATACACTGTAAGTAGCTTATACGTAAATTTATGAATATACTATAGTTTAAAAAAGAAAGATTAATATCCAGTACTTTGCGCTATTCGAACAATTCAGATTTCAAGATTATATTTAAAATTACTCGTATCTGAAGATCTTGACAGTTTATTCGTACAACTCAGTTAAATCTGAAAACACCGACAATTAACGGTCTACTTTTATCAGATAACTCAAATGTGTGTGCAGCATAAATAATACTATGCAGCATAAATATCTAAAAGACATCTTGGAGATGTCTGAAAGATATTCTGCTTGTTTTAGATCTTTTTAGAATCTTCTTAGGATATATTTCAGACATTCGTATTGTTTGGGGAACGAGTAAAGTGGCATGTTCTTGAAAAAATATGTAATGTGTGAATGTATGTGTGTGTGCAAGAGAAAAATGTTTATTTCTTTTTTCTGCTTTTATTCCATATCATTTACAGATATTAAGTGTAACGTAATAAATTTGAGTAACTTTTATAAAAAATTACAGAGTCATTTTGTTATTAGTCGTTCTGACTGTTTTAATATTCTATTATTTAGAAAATGCTGGAATCGATGACGAACTCCAAAATGTCAAGAAATATAGAATCGATTGTAACATAATCATGTATTTTTCTTTCTGTATTCTTTGTACATATAAGTCTTATGTAAATGTGTTGCTTTGTTTTACCAAATTTAGCGGAAAACCTAACCACGCATAGAAATCTTTGTGCAAACTTTTCCAATATTTCTAAGCTTCTCTAAATTCAGATGTAAAGATAGCAAAGTTATAGCATCGTTTTTTTAAATCTTTCGAGCGAAGTAAATTTTTGCGTTCAGTATATATAAGCTACAGATGTTTTGTATCAAGTGAATATTTTAACTGACAACGTTTGTAACAACGACAACGTATTTATAATATAAGTATTTTAAGAGATTCTCTTTTCCTTAACATACTATTTTTACCTTTCTATCTTTAAAACAATACAATAGTATTAAGACTCTGCTATCTCCGCCTAGAGTCAGAGTTGATAGTGGCGCCTACCAGTGTCGAGAACATAAAATAATCGTGTCAGGGTAGCTGATTGGCTGATACTCTGCCAGGCTCACGCTAGGCCTCGCTTGACATCTCGAAAAATTACTTGCATTTTATCGCGTTATTTTTCAGTTTCTCCGTAAAGTGTGTATATTATCGTAATTTTCATAGCCGTAAAATGTACAGCAAACTCAGTGATACTGGTGATACATTGTGAAAATCGAGAAATTAAATGTGTTCATACAGGCTGGTATCTCAGTTGCCAAACCACCGTAATAGCCAAAAAATATAGCATTATTTCAAGAATTATTTTACGATGCTACGTGATATATCAGTCAGATATCAAATTTGCTGTACTTTTTATAGGTTTCAGGAATAGGAAAATATTTGGTTCTTCAGAGAAAAGTAAAAAATTAAGCAATAAAATGCAGGGGTTTTTCGGTATGTCATTTCTCGCTTCTGACGTCATCAAACCAATATGGCAGTCTTAGAGATAGCAGAGCCTTAAAAACATTTGTTTATTTTGTAGACTCCGATTGCACAAAACGCTGCGCAGCCAGATGCAACGTTGCCAAGTGCGCAACGAGCACAGGAAGGTCTTGGGGTAAAATATACATAAATTATCGAAACATTTACAAGTATATCTTCTAATTTCTTGTAATTACAATAATAATTTACAGTTGGCCCAAGGAATTCTAGAACAAATCAAAGGCTCTATAGGACGTTTAGATAAAATAAATCTTAAATCAGGACCTTAAAAGCATTAAGATTCCTCTTCAGCAAGAAAATGGATTATGGAGTATATACTGGGAAAATGAATTGCATATCTACAAGGATCGGAAACAAGGATAAAAAATCTCTAATGCGTATTTACACAACACATGTATCCGAAAATGTCTAAAAAATATCCTTTAAATGTAAAACAATGTTTATAGCTTAGTTTTATTAGTGGAATATCTTCTTAAGTTCAACTTAACATACTATAAAAGTTTTATTGGCATTTTATTAGCTACATAAAATTTTTAAATTGTCATTTTGAACTTGTCATTTTAAATTTAACTAAATAAGGATAAGATTCTGAGAACAAAATGTAAATATCAGGAGCAAGTCAGATCCAATGAGTAGATGTATCAATGAAAGTATCGCAATACAAATATCACATAAGATCATATATACAGTGTCCGGTAACTCGCAGAGGAGTCGCAGTGTACAAGTAAATTAGGTCAAACTGAACAAAAAATTCCTTTATCATTTTATGAACAAAAGCGTAAAATTCTAAGTTACTAATCAAAGGAGATTCATGAATGATTACGCGCCATGCGGTAGATCAGCGAACTGACGGCAAACTGCTTAGATTTTTCATGATTTTCAAAATTTTGCGTACCTCACCCAGCGAGAAATGACTCGTCGATCGATGTCGAAACAATGTCGAATCGACGTCGTTTGACGAGTCATTTCTTGTTGGGCATTATGATGCTTCTATCTCCTTTGAAATGATATACTTTACTAGCATATCTCCAATAAAACGGTGAACTTCGTTTACTTCCCTTGGACGATAAATGAGATAGTCGTATGTTATATTTGAATTGTTGTCTCTTTGTTATTGCTAATCAGTCTTGAGAAGAGTTAAAAAAAGTGATAAAATCCAGCAGCTTCCTCCCTCAACTCTCTTAAAGTAAATCAGTGAATAGCTACTAATATCAGTTATGAGTATAGCATTGAGCACTTTCAGTGCTATATTTATAACTACAATCAGTGTATATTCACTGTTTTCAGTAATGTTTGTCTAATTAATTTTAAGAGAGCACTTTCCCATTCTAATAAATGGCCGTCTCAGAAGAAACTTTATTTTTATTTGCGTAACAATCTGTTTGTATCTCAATAATTATTTAACGTCTTGCTTTTCAGCATATTGTCATGCATGATATTAGTTATTATTATAACTTTAATATGCCTAATTTTCCTTTACACTGAAGAGAGTCTAAATCTAAAGATCCGAGATTGAAATGTACGTATATATTATTTTAACTCATACGTATATTCTCGTAACACTATCTACGTTGATCCTGACTTTCCTCTGATATTTACCCGAGTAAAAATTTAGTTAGCCTACCTGAATCAAAAACTAGTGACTAACTAGCACAGATTAAATCAAATTTTCCAGCTTGTTGCTAATTTGTTACTGGTCGATTATTCACTGAAATGTTGGATCGGATTTTTTATTTGATCGCGCGCGCGCGCGCGCGTTATCTAATATATTACATATAAAACTATTACATATAAAATATAATAGAGTAAATGACACTGTCTATTCTAAAATACATAATCTAGCTACTATATCACTATTAACATTTTAAAATTAAATAGCAAATCAAAATTAGGATTACGTTAATTTGATAAAAATCTCAAAAAAGCAAAATTAAACGTTACATTACTTATATTATTAGCAACCACTTTATTTGATGATTTCTCATTTTGTAATCCGTCTCTAATCCGACAAATTAAATCACAAATACTTTTACATTACAAAATCAAAATAAAATAATAAAAAAATAATAAATATATATATAAATATATACATAACATATACTATATTCTTGTATTTATATGTAAATGCTTTTCCTTGATAAAAAAAAAAAGTAGTTCATTGTTATTCGACTTCAATATTACAATTATAAAATTTTATTATCGACATGAAACAGTTGGTTTTCTATAATAAAATTACGCATTGATGTTTGGGTGTGCTAAAAAAATTTAGAAAAATTTATTGAAATATTTTTTCAAACGCAACGACCTACAAAACTTGCTTCCATTAGCCAATCATATCGCACTATAAGCTTGCAATGTAAGCAATATAATCTTGCCGACTATTATGTGTGTACGGACTTCAAAATATTATGGAGAATGAGTGAACCACCTACCAATAAAATCGCAATATTTGATAAAAATATCAAACCAACCGTCGACATTGACGGAGGGGACTTCATAGCAACGGAATGATTCTGAAACTCAATGTCACTTTACATTAAAACTTGCTAAACACCAAGCAACTCAACTTGCAAACTACAAGTGGTTTGGCCACCAAAAAACAAACCGCTCAAAGAAGGATCGAAATGAAGTTATTGTACTACGGTTTTCTAATTATTCTCCGCATCGGAGCCATACACGCCGTAAGTAGCTTACACGTACCTTTATAGACATATAATTATAAATTTTATATAGTTTAAGGAAGAATTAAATTAATGTGTCTAGTAATTTTGTGCTAATTATAAAATTCGAACAGTTCAAATTTCGAGACTATAAATTGAATGTGCTAATAAGTGATCAAATAATCTTGTCATGAAAATAAATTAATTAATAATGTATGTTAAACTAAGTGCACACAATATTAAATTTGTTGGAGAGGTTGAACATTTGAAATTCTAACTGCATTATATTATATAATATATTATATAATATATTATATAATATCAAAGCATTATATAATGTCAAAGCATATATAATCTTTAATCAATTATTTTTTCCATTCCATTTTAGAAGATATTGTTATAAAATTTTTATATTTAAGACAATATTTCTTAAAAGCTATTTACTTGATTACAATAATCTTACTATATAATTCATAAAATCATTACTTGAAGAAAATATAAATAGTACAAAATTGCAAATATAGTCATTGTCACTCTAGTCCTATAGTCAATGTTATTTAGAATTATAAGTAATTCGAACCTTGTAAATATGTTAATATACCTTTCTTCTGTTCTAAAACTTAAAAGGAAATAATTATTCTCTAGGTTTAATTATTCTCCCTCTCTCACCGATCTGCATGACAATTTTCACTACAATTTCTCAATAATGCTCTGTAATACGCAATAATTTGTAATATGAACTGCATATTATCGATATATTATTTCGAGTTATGATCATTACGCAAAAATCGGTTTAAAAAACTGGCCAACACAAAATAAAACACAAAATAAAAAAAATCCAAAATAATTATGGATCGCCTTTATCGGTCATCGCTTCATTTCGTTAACCAAATCTAGAATTGGCCGGATATTTCTACGAACTGACTGCTTTGAGTACGGATTTCCCTAGAACATATACCATATCTCGAGTTTTTTCTACTTTCTTCTTTTGTATTGTCGTATATTTTAATTAAGTTAATTTTTATTTTTAAAACATTCCTTCATATATTTCAAGCAAGAGTTGCGAAATTTCCTTTTATAGAACATACTACATCTGTTCCATATAAAATGTTTTATTGTAAAAGAATAATAGAAATTAATTAGTTAAAATTAAAACAACTCACTCGTTAGAATAACATTTATTTCTAAGTATTTATGTGTGACGTCAAATATATAAAACCTACTTGCTACGTTTAATAATCGAATGGCAAGTAGATATCAATCTAAAAAAACTCCACAAAAACAGTATTAAAAATTCGACGATCATAGTTATGAAAATCCTGCAACCATCAAGGTAAACGTAAATAAAGTTGAAACGACATCTGCATAATGTGTGTTTAGCACACACGCACTAATATGATTTAAAATTCATTCACAATTGTCGTAACGAGAAAAGCATTTGTCGGAAGTCCTCATGTAAGTCCAACTTCACAAAGATCAAGGTGTGATCTCACATAGCTATTAATATCGACTACTTCCTGTTAGCTATGGAAAATCACGCAACGTAATGCGAGAAACTCGAGCGTGTTTACGAGCAGTATATGTCATCATTCTACGTTCAATCCTTGATTCCTAGATTTATATTTTTTTTATAAATTTTAAATTAATGGAAGAAAACAGCACTGATTAACTCGCACGTAAACCGACCGTCACCATAACAGCGCATAAAATTAAATATAATTATTTGCACAATGACAAACAGTTGTAGTTTATTATATAATATACTTGAAAAAATTACTTGAGAAAATTATTTATTTCTTTATTTATTGATATATAAAAGTTTGTTTAGTTCAATGTTATATTTTACGTAAATTACAGTCTAAAGTATATACTATTGAAATTGTCATCTAAAGAAAGAATAAAGAGAAATGTAAAGTGTAAAATGATACTCGAATAATCAACTAATATACTGGATTGGATAATTGAATAGGACGATTCGATAACTGATCCGGTCATGACATCACAGTGCAGTTTATATAATTCTGTTTGATAATGTGCCGTCAGTATTCCGTAAGTCGTGCAATCGTTATGTTGGTCATTTTACAAGATCAACGTACATCGGTTTTACAGATAGCCACTTTCGAGGTACTTCTATTGCTACATATTTTACCTTCTTTCTCTCCTCATCAAACACTCTTGGACACAAATAATTTGAAAGTGAACGAGACTTAAAACAAAAACAAATTACTTTTACAAGAATAAATTATTCTTAAAATCAAACGCCATCAATAGCGTCGCGACGTCAACGTTATTTTATTCCGAGGAATCAAATAACACATTGCACACCGGATATGAGTGATTCTTCTCCACAATATTGAGCAATTAGCGAGATAATCCATTCGCACAAAAAAAACTCATTGAAATATTAGTCATCTCAATGACTTCCACAGAATAACACACGGCTGGACTCTGTTCAAACTAATATGTTTCCACATCACGGTTCAAGCAGGCGAAACAGGCGGTTTTACGGCAAACGATATGGATCTCGTCGAGCATTACCCCTACCATCAGCAGGTGAGTAAGAGATGCCTACCGATCAGCTTGAGAAATCACTGCCTACCTGCCTACCGACCTTGGTCCTTCGTCAGTAAACGCGAAGATGTCGTTTGACGTGGTAGCTAACTATCTGTTTATCATTTGCGTAGCTTTTGCTAACGGGATGCCGCAAAACAATGCCGCGACATCTCGGGAGAATTCTGGCTCGGTAAGTAAAACATTCGGTGCATGTTACTTTGTTGTTATTATTGCAATATAACACAAATTTTCTCAAGTTTCCTTGATCTCTAACAAAAACGTTGACACACAAGTGCAATTATTTATAAAGTAAAAAGTTAAGACAAAAAAAAAGAGAAGATTTTTATATAATTTTAATTCATTTATATGATTTTTATTTTAATTTTATTATAATAATAATTATAATTATAATTTTATTATAATAATATGTATCAATATAATTTTAACATATCAAATAAGGTAATGAATTATCCCGGGTTTGCTTTTTCAGGCAAATTAAAACATTTGTATTTTTAAGACGTTATAATTTTATGATACAATATGTGTACAGTTTTGATCTGCAATCTTCCATCGTCCTCTGCACTGTGTTTCATAAAATTATAGCAACATGAAAATACAATTGTGTGTTTCCTTTTACCTGAAAAATTCCAGATTACTTATTATACAACCCAATAAATGCTATTACTGTTTGCATAGATGCGATCTCGGTTAGGCTGTTTTTCATGGATAAATAAATTTACGTTATCTGCGGTGCATTAATATCGCCGAGATACTGTAACGTTGTACAGGATGAACCGAGGATCATATTATTACATGTTTTGTACATTTAGATGATGAAACGAGAAATGGCTTCTCGCTGAACGTCTCGCACACACATTCGTTGTTCGTATGTCTAGTAGTTAATTACGGATACATTGCTAACAGATAACGGTCAGGTGTATGATGAAATTCCTAGCAACAAAGACTGCTGAAATCGCAAAGACCGTGTTAATATATTTACTCAATATAAGAACTTTATTATCCAGATTCACTTATTAATATAGTTAACAAACAATGTTTGTTATTACCGAAATAACCTATCATTCCTTTTATGGCAAAATCTTGTCGGCCAGTGTTATTATTAAATAAATATGAGTATTTTTATGAGTCTTTTATAATATTGTATAACGAAACGATAATAGCAATATTACTTGTATAGAATATTAACGTAAGTAGTCTACATTAAGTCCTGAATTAATAAACGTGTTTGGCCACAGATTAATATTATAATTACAAGCTAGATCGTATTCCGCGTAACTAAGGTGACTCGAGCGTCATTATGAGTGACTATTAAATATAGAAATAAAAACACGCGAGAGAATTCTGTGCGCGCTCCAGAAAGGCAAGGATTGATTCTGATTGGCCAACTGCTTCGAGAGGAGAAACACGCGAGGAAAAGTTACGGCTTATGTTGGTTAGATAATCGCATATTTTGACTTCTGTGGCGAGAGAAAGGTTCGCGGAAACGTTAATACGTAGCACAAAATATAATTTATCATCGACGTCGTGCAGTTACAACATAATATACGTTATTCTAAACATCTGCCCTTTACTTATAAGCTTGGAATGCAACAAATTAAGAGAAAACAGTAGCAAGTGTACGGGTAACATTTTATAGTAATGATTATTATAGGTCTTTATGACCAAGGAATATATCATCATTCTGTTTTAATATATTATCCTTTTGTATCATACGTATTATTTGTATTTTGAGTACAAAAGTTATATACTACTAAAAATATATTAAAATAATGTATTAAATGTATTATAATAACGCATTAAATGTATATATTATTGTATGTATATATATTTGTCCTTCTAAAATATTTTACTATATTATCAAAAAATTTACTATGTTTCCTTCCTCCTTTTAACTAAATAAATTATAGCTACTATTATTATATAGATTTTTATTTTGGGTCTATTTTCACAATATCCAACGTAAAAATGCCCAAGAGAAATTATTGTATCATGCAACGTTACGGTGACTAGTTTCGAAATTAGCCAGAGTACTGGAACATTAGTGATTGACGAAACTCACGCGTGCAGAGTTTGAGAGAAAAGTCCGCACTTATGTCTTGCAGCGGAGAATAGACCGGAAAAAGATTGAAATTGCATTATCAACCACAATTTAGAGACGGAACCCGCAGCTAAAATAAAGAAAAAATAAAAAAAAAAAATAACATTGACAGGCTCCGTGCAATTGCGCGAAAAGTTGTTATTTACGCAATATAACGTGCAATTACTGTCCCACTAATTCTGCCGAGTATTTTCAATCGTGACGGACGGGCTTAATTCCCATTGAGTGTCCTTCCGCAGCTGCCATTTTTGCAATTCACTGGCAAAGACATCCGAGTGAATCTCGCTGGATACCACGCCGAAGCTGGTCTTGGAGGCCTCCTAAGGGACGCCGGAAGACCTCCAGGTGAAGGCCTCCTAACGGGCGCCGGAAGACCTCCAGGTGAAGACCTACGGGGGGACGCCGGAAAGCCTCCAGGTGAAGATAGAGGGGGCGCCGGAAGGCCTCCACGTGAAAGTCTCTGGGGGGGCGCCGGAAAGCCTCCAAGTGAAAGTCGCTGGGGAGGCGTTGGAAGGCCTCCAGGTGAAAGTCTCTGGGGGGGCGCCGGAAGGCCTCCAGATGAAAGTCGCTGGGAGGGCGCCGGAAGGCCTCCAGGTGAAAGTCGCTGGGGGGGCGCCGGAAGGCCTCCAAGTGCAGACCGGAAGGATGCCGGAAGGCCTCCAGGTGAAGACAGAGGGGGTGCCGGAAGGCCTCCACGTGAAAGTCTCTGGGGGGGCGCCGGAAGACCTCCAGGTGCATACCGGGGGAGTGCCGGAAGGCCTCCAGGTGAAAGTCGCTGGGAGGGCGCCGGAAGGCCTCCAAGTGCAGACCGGAAGGATGCCGGAAGGTCTCCAGGTTCAGGTGCCGGAAAGCCTCCAGGTGCAGACCGAGAGGGTGCAGGAAGGCCTCCAGGTGAAAGTCGCTGGGGGGGCGCCGGAAGGCCTCCAAGTGCAGACCGGAAGGATGCCAGAAGACCTCCAGGTTCAGGTGCCGGAAGGCCTCCAGGTGCAGACCGGGAGGGTGCCGGAAGGCCTCCAGATGAAAGTCGCTGGGGGGGCGCCGGAAATCCTCCAGGTTCAGGTGCCGGAAGGCCTCCAGGTTTAGATGCCGGAAGGCTTCCAGGTGAAAGTCGCTGGGGGGGCGCCGGAAGGCCTCCAGGTGAAAGTCGCTGGGAGGGCGCCGGAAGGCCTCCAGGTGAAGACCGAGGGGGCGCTGGAAGGCCTCCAGGTGAAGACAAAGGGGGCGCCGGAAGGCCTCCAGGTGAAAGCTTCCGGGGCGGCGCCGGAAGGCCTCCAGGTGAAGACCAGGGGGGTGTCGGAAGAGCTCCAGATAAAGACCGGGGGAGCGCCAGAAGGCCTCCAGGTGAAAGCCTCCTAAGTGGCGCCGGAAGGCCTCCAGGTGGAGGACTTCCTGCAAGCGTAGGTACTCCATGGGTTGCACACGCAGATGCTGGATTAAGCAGTGAAGCAAGCGCAGAGAACGGCACTGTCGGTTCGTATTAGTAAATACGAAGAGAATGTAATAACTTATATATATAGAGGGTCCCAAAACAATCTTATTAAAATTATTAATTAAAGAAGATTGTCGAATAATCACTTACGATAATATATTAATGTTATTTAATTAGTAACTAAAAATCTACACAATTATTAGGAAAAAAGTAAGAGAACTTTTGTTCAATTTAACCTAATATATAAGCACACGACAGCAGATGTCGTTGTCATTATTATTTTTGTTGTATTTTTTTAATTCAAAATTAGAATATTTTTAATTCAATTCAAATTTAATTTATAACCACACATCGCAATTCAATATTACTGTTTTCTTACGACTGTGTTTTTCGTTTTCAACCAAGTAGTGTCCTTCTATGGATAAATAAATAATAATCATGATCGTCGTAAAAAGTCGAGTCGTTGCGAACATTGACGCAAGTCAGAATCAGCGAGAAGAAAATGATTTCAGGCGGCGGACTGTACGCTCTCGCTGGTCTCGGCCACGAAAGACCGAGGGCTGCGGCCGGCATCGGTGGGAAACTGGACGGCAGCGGACGATCGTTGAACCCGATCTCAGGTGGCATGTACGCAGGTGCAACACCGGAAGGCGGACCCGAAACCGGCGTGTACCTCGGTGAAGGAGACGGCAAGGATGGTGTCGAGTATACGGTATCAAGCGACGTGCCGGTCGATGCGTCCGACGCGATTCCACAACCAGCTGGCACGACAACGACGAAAAAATCTGACGAAAAATCCGCCGACACAGACGAAGGCGCGGATGAAACGAAGCCGACGAGGATCCGCACGAACATATAGATCATACCGAGGAAGGAGAAAGAGGTTCCGTTCAGTGCAATTTAACTTTAGGTCGCAGAGCCGCTTTGATGAAAGATAAAATATTATAATTTTCAAATACGGTATCTAAACGAGAAATCGAGAAACGCGAGGATGTTCATTGACAGTCCACTAACTCACGTTCTATAGTCTTGTCGTAGTGTCAAGAAAATGATGGTAGTCGTAGTCTCGTTAAGCTCTTGTCGATCAGTTACACATACAGGGTGTTCAAAAAGTCCCGGACCGGTGAAATATCTCGAAAACTAAGCATTTTAGAAAAAAATGTTTCAGATAAAAGTTGTGGCGTTTAAAAAGATGTATTTACTGATCACATCAGTTTGACCTTGGGTTGCGTAGCGAAGGTCAGGTCAAGGTCACATTAATTTTTTTAAATGGAACATTTAAATTTCATATG